CAACTCTTGCTGAAATTAATCCTCAACCCCGACATCAACTCAAACCACCTCAGAATAGCTTTTACCGTGAGGATATTTTCTTTGCTTGCCTCACCCAATATAACTGTGTCATCTGCAAATTGTAACAAGGAGACCACCAACCCCCTCCTACCCACCTTTACCCCTTGTAGCATGCCTTCATTTTCTGCTTTTTTAACCAGTCCATGCAATGCCTCTCCAACCATCAGAAATAAAAAAGGAGACAAAGAATCTCCTTGCCTGAGCCCTTTCCCCATTTCAAACTCCTTGGTCGGACTACCATTTACCAATACCGATACCTTGGCAGTTGATAGACACTCCAAAATCCACCCCCTCCATTTATCTCCAAAGCCAAACGCTCCCAACATCCAGTCCAAAAACGACCAATTAACACAATCATAAGCTTTTTGAAAATCAGCCTTAAAAACAAAAGCTGGTTGCTTCCTCTTACGAACCTCGTCCACAACTTCATTTAGAACCAAAACACTATCCACCAATTGTCTTCCCCCTACAAAAGCCGATTGCGTTTCGCTAATAATCCCCGGCATCACATCCTTAAGCCTATTAGCTAACACCTTTGCTAGCAATTTATACATACAGCCAATTAAACTAATAGGCCTAAAGTCTTTTAGTTCCCTAGGGCTTAGTTTCTTCGGGATATATGTAAGAAAGGAAGAATTCAAACCCCTCACTAACCTGCTGTTTTGGTGAAAATCCCGAAAAAAAGCAATAAAGTCTTCTCTAACACTACTTCAGATGAATTTGAGGAGATTAAAGTTATACCCATCAGGTCCCGGAGCTTTACTTCCTTCACAACTCTTCAAGCCTTCTTCAATCTCCTCATCAGTAAAAGGCCTTTCAAGCCACTCCTTCTGATCTTTAGAAATTCTCCGGAAAACCAGATTTGAAGGTATGGGTCGGTTCCAAGCATCATCGTGAAACATATTGCGAAAGTACTTCACCATCTCATCCTTAACCATCTCCGGATCCTCTACCCACTGTCCGTTAGACCATAATCCCAAGATACTATTTTGTGCCTTTCTCCCATTTGCTATTTTGTGAAAATATCTCGTGTTCTGATCCCCCAATTTAACCTAATCACTTCTAGATTTTTGCTTCCAAATAGCCTCCCTTTTCCACAAAATATCCCATAACTGCTGGAAGCCTTCTTTTCTTAGATCCACCTCCTCCTCCGCCAAATCCATCACTTCATTCTTCAAATCAATCTGTTCTACACTCTTAACCACATGCTGAAAATGTGTTTCCATGTTTCCGAATACTTCCTTATTCCATCCTTTTAAAAAATCCTTAAACCTCTTAAGCTTCTGTTTGCATCTATATCCTGCGTACCCTTCCTCCTCGAGCTCCTTCCATTTATCTTCAATCACCTTCTTGAATTGTGGGTGCTGCTGCCAAGCATCCAAAACTCGGAATGGTTTTGGTCCCCAATCAGCTACTGATGTTTTGACCATAATAGGACAATGATCAGACACAGTCCTCTTCAGTCCATGCTGCACCCATCCCTTTCCCGAATTGTACATCTCACCAGACATTAGGACTCTATCCAACCGACTCATAGATGACCCATCTGGTCGATACCATGTAAACCGTCCATTTGCCAATTGAATATCTACCAACCCAGTTGACACAACAAAATCATCAAACTCCCTCATATCCTGAGTCTCCCCTGTCCTACTTTTCCTCTCGTTGGGACTCCTAACTGCATTAAAGTCCCCTGCAATCATCCATCTCCCTTCCTCTTCCATTATCATTTGCCGAAGATCATTCCACATTATCATTTTCTTCTGCCTGTCATTTGAGGCGTAAAAATTCACAAAATTGCACTTCACCTTCTTAGGCCCCCATTCTCCTCTAATCCGCAAGAACCCATTACCCGAGATGACCCCTTGTTTTACAAACTCAAGTCGATTCCATATACACAATAAACCCCTAGAGGTTCCACTCAATTCCTTCATCTCCCAATCATAATCATCTGAAAACCACAACAATTTACATAGCGCACCCTCCACCATTTCTAATTTTGTCTCCTGTAGAAATAAAAAAATCGGGTCTCTCTGCTCTTACCAACTTACTAACCTCCCTCCTTTTCACTAAACTCCCTAACCCCCTCACATTAAAAGATATTAACTTCATAAGAAAACCCCACCCCACACCCTTCCCCAACGACTGCCCCTACCCTTACTGCACCTTCCCCTGCCCAAACTCCCGAACCTCCAACTCTAGCAACCTCGACTGAACCTCCTCTTCATTATCTTGCCACTAAATACC